AGAACGCAACTTCGAATGCTGGCCACGGGAATGGGAGCTGTTTTCATATATATATATATATATGCTACCCCCCAAACGTTTTCAGACAATTTTATTGCTTGTATGTGAGAGTTGTCCTGGATGATAAAGCAGATGTATTGAAAGCAGATTGTTCTTGATGGCCAAGCAGATGTACAACAGATGAAGCCTTTGGATGCATTTGCACAAACAGCTCATTTTGCCTTGCAGATCTCATCAGCGATCAAAGTGTACTACGCTGTTCTTAGGAAATTTCTCATTTCCCAAGTGCACAGCTCTCCGGTCGCTACCCAAAGATCTTTCTGTCTATACCAGTACAGGTACTGCGCCGAACGCAACTTGGAGCGAAGGCGCTTCGAACCTGCTGTACAGCTCTGGTTCAAGACAATCCGATCTTTGAGATATCGCCAGGCCCTTTCGATGACCTGAGTGCCGGCTTTGACCTTCAGAGCCGTCTTAGTGCCAGGCACTTTGCCCTTGACCTCCACTTGCCCTTGACCTTGACGCGCTGCTTGCAGCGCACGACATTGTCGTGCAAGACGCCAGGGACTCGGGCTCGATGGCTCTTTGCGGCATCTGTGTGAAGGATCACCTTTTTGTTTTGAAGCCATTTTTCGGCAATGGGCTTCCATTCCACATTCCGATGGCCCCTGGCCCTGGAGCTCGAGCAGCAGCCAATGCAGGCGTCAGACGATGGCCCACACCATTGCTCCCAAAAGACACACTTGGATGGGTCTGGAGCATCTGTTGCTAGGTCTTTCCTGTCAAAAGTGGCTTCATCAGCCTCCACATCGCTCCAGGGCTTTCCAGCCCCGAAGTCAATTTCCTTTTCCTTTGTCACCACCCATTTCATACGCAAGTCGCAGAGACGAGTCTCCCACTCTTCAATGACCTTGTGATTGACGCCCAAGGGCCGGTGAATGATTGGATGGGACACATTGTTCAGCTTCAAGAGTAGGATGGCTGACTGGGTGGACAAAGACGTAAACCAGCGCCGCGGCCATCAACAAACAAAGGGTGGAGGTGGTGAAGACTGATGTATGCCCAGCATCCACGGGCACTGCGGTGCCTGAGCACACCACTGGACGGATGTGGCACCAGAGTAGACAAAGTTCCCTTCTCACATCTGGGACAAACATGACCTTCCCAACATGGAAGCAGACGGTCCTCCCGAAGCTTGTGGATCAAGTCATTTTCAGTGGTGCGAAGTAACTCTGGGAGAGACCTCTTCCACGAAGTACGATCCATGCGTGTCTCATCCTTGGCCTTGTCACGGGTGTAGGCGATCTTGTTCCACGTCGAGCTCTTGGTGGACGCTGGCCGCTTGAGTTCCGCGTTTCGGATCTGGGAAAGGGTTGAACTTTGTCGCCGTGACGATCAAAACTTGACACAAGCGAGAACTACAGCAGCTACAAAATTCTGGCAGATAATGCACAGAGTTTGGAAGTGACAGTGCAATCAAAAAGGACAGAACATGAATAGATACAGACTTTCTGCATATGTGCCATTTCAATTTCAGATTGGGGCGCCATTTTTCATACGTTCAATGCTCACAAGGCTCCTGACTAGGAAGCTTCCAAGATGCTGCAAAGTACGAGAAGGGTTTCCTTCATCCACTCAGTGTCGGTGATGTCTTCTGCGGGGTCCGGGAGGCAGACACGAAAAGCGGTGCATTTGTCCAAAATCTCTTCATACTCCTTCAAAATGAAGTTGTGAAGGTCAGAGCGTTGCCCTGTTTCATCACAAAGACGCATGCCGCGGCAGATGGCACGTGCCCGGTACATCTTTCTCTCCCAAACTCTCTTCGGATAGACCATGATTGGTGAAGGTACGAGACAGTACAGGTCAGGGTAGGATGCGAACAAATTGTGGTACTCTTCATTCAGATTCTGCACAATGCGGCTGCGCTTCGACATGGCCATGGTGAGAGCAAGCAGGAAAAGAGCCACCTTAAGCAGCAAGCTAAAGGTTCAGACAGCAGCCGAAAGATGCTAGATGACAGAAGGCATGTGACAAGAACCTCCAAACAATGACAGTCAGAAGCGCAACATGTGTTTTTTCAAGTTGACAGGACACAACCTTTTGCTCCGCTGGTAGGTATGATTGGCTTCCTATACGTCGGCAAGAGATCACTCAGTCCTGGTGGGTAGCAAAGCCATGTCCAAAACATCTTCTTCATCACCTTCTCCAATCATGCCCTCGATGGGAATGGATGGATTTGGAATCGGAGATGGTGCTTCGTCATCAGAGGCCAAGTTGATAAGGCCATAGTTCATGGCTTTTTTTCTTCCACTTCTGGAGCCTCAGCTTTGATGGATGTCACTGATTCTTTTTTGGTGCTTTTGTGAACCGGGCTGTCTAGATCAATGGAGCCAGCGCAAGTTGTCAAAGAGCGCTTGAAGCCGGTGATCTCGGACTTGACTGGCTGAGGTGGCAGGCGCGTGTACTTCCACGACACGGTTGGTTTCAGAAGGATTGAACAAGGAATGTGTAATGGTTTCTGTAGACAGTGGAGGCATGTCTTTCCCTCCTCTTTCCATGACAGAGGTCATCCACGCCTGCTCCCACTTCACATGAGATACAAACTCCTCAGGTAGATGCTTGTTGCCTTTGCGATAGTGCACAAATCAATGCGTTCGACCGAAACCTCAGACTCAGTGGCGGGGCGCCAGTACATGAAGTGCTTTGTCATGATCAAGATGCAGGTTCGCTTGAGGACGGCCTCAATGTCAGACACTGAGGACCCTTGCATCCACACTGGCTCCAAGATCTGCATGAAGTCTTTGCGAGAGAGGGTTGTCACATTCCTTTTCGGTCGAGGCTCCGCGGTGAGATCTAAATCGTTGGAGATGTAGCGCGTTTGACCTTGTTGGAATTTGGCCCCTCCCCACCTCTCCTTAGTGAGGACCGTGTTGCCAATGTCACAAAAGCCTTTGAGCTTGCGCATAGGCTGTTCGGGAAGGGGACCGTCATCGAAGATGTCAAGGCGGTCCTGTCTTCCTGCCTCGCCCCTGAAGAAATCAAACTCACAGGCCTCCCGGTAGCCAGGGACATTGTGAGTGCCAAGCTTCCGCACTCAGTACTGGGACATGGCCACTGCGACAATCCTTCCAAGTGGAGTCTTTCCCACATTGGGAACACCATGCGTGCCAAGTGCTTTGTCCCTGAAAAGAGGGAAGAACTTCTCCAAGATGAAGAGGACAGAAGGGTTCACATCCACAAGTGTTAGGGGGAAGTCATGCACGGGCAAAGCTAAGACTCCATCGGTCATGAGGTTCCTCAGAGCTTCTTTGACCAATCTCTCGGGCCAGTCTTTGATGGGAGAATCCTCAGAGATGAGTTGCTTTGTGATCCATCGCAGTTGGGTGTTGCAGTGATGGCTTCGAGGGCCGTATTGCTCAATGAAATCAAATCCTTCGTCAATCTTGTCGTCACTCAGGCCATCATAGAAAGTCTTGCGGTCAGATGAAGCAGCGCCAGCAGGAGACAAAGCGAAGCTTTGGGTTTGAAACCCTCCCATTTTCTCAAACATGTATTGGAGAGCTTTTCTTATATTCTTGCTGTCACTGGACACATAGACAGTCTCCGTGGCACAAAGTCTTGAGCAAATCGGACTTCACCTGCTCAGAGAAGCTAATGTGCTTCAAGAGGAAATACTTCCCAGGTCGGTCAGGCAGAGGGACGGCAGCCAGTTGAAAGTCGAACTGCATACCTGGAGAAGCTTTCAACCCAAAGGGGGGCCGGCAAGTCATGAAACCGCTTGTCTTTGCCAGCTTGTGTCACTTGCTCTTTGAGGGCAATGGGAAGTTCGACAGGGACAACCATGTCAAAGATGTGCCTGACTTTGCTGTTGTCTGAGACGGCGTTAAGAGGAAGGTCGCTGGGAAGAACGCTGCCACGAGGAAGGTCCACGATGTTGGGTTTCTTCAGATGTAGCAACAATGCATTGGTCGCATTCAGTGCGTTTTCCATGGTGATGTCGCCGCCATCGTTGAGCATGGTTTCCACAAAATTGCACGATACTGTAGAAAATGCGAGTTTGAGTCAAAATGCCTGCTACGGCCAATGATTGCAGGCCTGCGTTTCAGATGGTACAATGAAGAATTTGCTAGGCCAGATGGAGCAGAGATTTCAAATTCCCTGGCAGGCTCAAAAAAAGCAAAAATTTCAAAAGACCCTCGTCACAAAACCCTGGCAGGCTTAAAACAATCAACAAAAGCAAAAGTTTTAGGATCTATGGGGGCTCTGGGGGGTGCCTAGATTTTTGATAGTTTTGAGCCTGTCAAGGAATTTGCTTTTTTTGGCTAGCCCACCTTGCAAAAACACTGGCAGGCTCAAAAAAATTCAAAAATTTCAAAAGGCCCTAGTCACAAAACCCTGACAGGCTCAAAAACATCAAAAAAACAAAAACTTTAGGATCTATGGGGGCTCTGGGGGGTGCATAAATTTTTGTTTTTTTTGAGCCTGCCAGTGTTTTGTGACTAGAGCCTTTTGAAACTTTTGATTTTTTGAGTCTGCCAGTGTTTTTGCAATTTTTGGCTTACCCCACCTTGCAAAAATGCTGGCAGGCTTTAAAATAACAAAACATTATACCACCAGTATATCGTTTATATTTATATATATATATATATATTTGATCGGATGTAGGAGGATGTTCATTGAACATTTTGATCAGATGCCACATGCACATTGCAGATTCAGATTTGTTGGTACCCCCCACCTCCCCTATTTGTCTGAAAACGTTGGTTTGGGGGGTACTATATATATATGTATACATATATATATATATGTAATGGTAAACGCTTTACCTTAAATGCACCTTTGTATAATATGTCCCTTGCGCAGCAGTCAAAAATTGACACGGAGCTGTCTGTGGGCGATACCCACACCCCCACACCCGTGACTGCTACATTTTGCAGCTGACAGGACTCCTCCATCTCCTTCTCACCATGCTACTGTGCTCCCGAGTGGGTCAGGGCCTCCCAGACATCCTTTCGTTCCCTTCCTATGTTTGAAGGTGGGAAATTGACCACTTGCTTTTCTGACCCACAAGCTTAAACGTCAACTTCCATCACCCTCGGAACCCAAGGCTCGTTTCCTGATCGAGGAGTCAGAGTCTGGCACCTGTGGGGATGTGAGGGGAACGGACCAAACTAAGAATGCTTGCTTTGTGTGATCCCCATTAAAAATACATATCTTAGCCACTGCAATTTCCAGAGCAGTTCTTTCTGTTCAATCCAAGCCAGGTATTGTTTCTCGTTCCCAACGGTCTCAAGCTCCCTATGAAATAAATAAGACGGTTCCCGGTCAGGACACTTTGCCTCGTGTTTGAGGTCCAAAATCAACGTGCGCCCACACTTGGATGTGAGAGCCCCAAACGAATGGCAGGTCGCTTTGTCGTGCAAACCAGACACGGCGAGTGCCTTTTTGACTGCGATGATACTCCAACTCGGCCATTGGTTTGAACAAGAACATGACGATTTTGACGAATCATGAGTTGTGGTTTGACGATTTTTGCTTCTCAAGCCTTCAGAATGACCAAATCCTCCAAGTCCTAGGTCTGGAGCGTGGGAATGACGGTGTGCGAGCTGGCCACGTTGGATGTCATGTAGCCCAGTTGGTGGGGGAGGGTCACTCAAGATCTCCAAAGATCCCTAAAGTCTGTGGGCTGAAAGCAGATGACAGCCGACAGTTGAATTCCTCATGCCTAGTGTGCCCACTACTTGTCTTCACAGGCAGTTCTGAAGCCCATGTACGCAAACTTCCTGCGCAATGGGCACTCGCATAAGGAGGCCAGGAGTCAGGAGTGGTTCCATGGTGGGTCAAGGAAGAAGAGCCCCAAGACGCTGATGGTATCGAGCCTTCATTTGCCAGCAATCTATTGACTTGGGGCAGGTGAGCTTGCAATTTACATTCTCCTATGTGACCATAAACCATAGAGCTGAATCAGCCCACTCTTGGACCCTTAATTAGCCCCGCGCTCCTGTTTACATACAATTTACTACTAAACCCCTGAAGGCAAACCCTAGCTGGGGATTTAAGGACAAGCTATAAAACCAGTTGATTGATTTCTTATGGCCCTCGACATCGTCCATTTTTACAGTTGCCTTCTAGTAGTGACCTGGGTCATCCTATGTCATCGAAGTAGCCGAATAATTTACTGGCCTAGCAGGGTAGTTGCAGAGTGCACAGGAGGAATTACCATGTGCAAATTGCACACATCGGCTGTCAAGTACTGTCATGTTTGTTCAAAGAACGCAAACGGCTCATTCACCAGCAATATCTCACCTGTGCTCTTCTACGGGGTTGCGATTTGTCTCTCCACCAAGTTGTGCGGTCGTTGCCATTCTGTGTGCATTTCTACCATGCTCGCCTGGATGAGGAAGGATCACAGCAACCAACAAAACAACAAAACGAGTGGTGCCATGTGGTTCTTGATTTCAAGTCATCAAACATAGCATGGCAGCATGGCCATATCCCATTCTGTTTGGACTTTTGGGTGATTGCGGCACCAGGCTGGCTTCCTGTTCATGGACTGGCTTGGAAGTATTGCAAAGGCTCGGGCGTTTGGATATGCTGTAACTTTGCCGTTAAGCTTTGCATCGGTTCTGAATGAGCCAGACCCCCAAAATAATCCCAACATACTCACAAAAAGGTTTGTGGTGTATTTTGCTGAGTTGAGCACAAAAGACACAAAAGCAGCGTCGTTTTTGGAAGCCGCGTTGGGTCGACGCCGCTTTTCGCCGAATCGCTCGCCTCGGGACCAGGCTCCCTTGCCAAAGAGCATCGAGCGGTTGGAGGGGCCCAGCGGTTCGAGCGGTTTCATGGTGTTTCCAAGACTTTGCAAGAATTTCATGGTTTGTTGGACAGATTCCAAGAATGCCACTTTTCACGGCGATGGCCGAGGTTCGATGATGGATTTCACAAGATGTTGGTGAATGGTTTGCTGGTTTGCGATCAGCACAAGAGGACATGAAAAGAATTGGCAATTCATACTGTTGTTTGTCGTCCGCTGTGGCGGATGTGTATTGTGTTCAACGACTTTTGTTTGGCGTAGAGTGTTCCCGGAAGTTGGCAAGTGCTGCCAATGGGCTGGTGCGGCCGGTGTGTTCCCCCCCCTTTTCAGTACAGAGTCGTAGCGTCCCAAACAAGCAGCGGTCCAGTTTTTGGATCGTTGTCGACTTCCTTGTTGTTCATATTTTGGAGGCTCAGAATGCAGATACACAATCATTCCACAGAAAATAAGAGTACTGCAGATCGTGTGTCGTTGCCTGACGATTCGACACTGCTTGGCGCCTGATACGTTAGAAGCTTGCTCACCCGCTGCCGGCGGTCCTGGGTGCAGGAAAACACTAGCGCAGTGTCTTTCCGACCCCTACCTGGAGTCAGACAGCCACAGGGTGGGACGTGTCGAGTCAGCATTTCACGGACGGTGCCGGAGTCCAACTTGCGCCGCTACTGCCTTTTGAGAGCCATAATCGACAGGTCATTGATAGGTCATGGGACTGAAGACGATTGGACAGTTCAAAGATAGCTTGCAAGCAGTGTGAACATTTGGCAGGATCTCTGGGAACTTGTCCAGAATATGTTTTCGTGGCTAGCTGCAATCGATCAATGTTCAAAAGACATCCCATCGCGTCGCTGGTTCGTCGTGACGAGCGCTTAGCTCGCTCGGAGCAGGTGGCCAGCTCCGACCGGGTCTCGGGGATCGAGCACAGCAATTCGGACTGCGGGTCTCTTCGGAGCGTGAGTTGGGGAGGATGTGTCGGTTTTGGAGACAGACGCCCGGTTTTGAAAAAGGTACCTTGGGAGTGAAAGGGGATGTGACAGTTTTTGGGAGAATTTGGCAGGAAGCTCCACCATTGCCGATGAACGAGAAGGTGGACAGGACCACCCGCAATCGCATTGAAGACACCTCCAGCAAGGCGGTCTGGAGACTTGAGACGGACACGAAGCCGAACGGACACGAAGCCGAACGCTGGCTTGAGAAGAGGCACGCTACTAGGTGGAGGCCATCGCTATTTGGAGGCCATCGCTACTAGATTCACCTAGGAACAAGAAGCTACTAGTAACAAGGACTTCACACCGAAAGTAGCTTGGAGCCAATTCGGGTCGGAGTGGATGAACGTGTTAGTGAGTTCGTGGGACTTTTTTCCTGCGCACACATGATGGACAAGCCAGATCACATGATGGACAAAGGATATTACACTCACCAAATCCTGATGACTGTCAGCCAAACACACAAACATGGACCATCAATAAGCTACGTATGCACGCAATATCTGCGCAAGTACTTTCAATTAACACAATCAATCTTTGTGTTCTGCCTGTTTTTCCAACAGGGAAGCACTGCAGGGGATCTTAGGCAGGAGAGGCTACCATCCAACACTATTGGCCAGGAGTCTGACCTGCCGCCCAAACCCTCAAACCTCCTTCCAGCATCGCAAACAAGTTTAGAGTTTAGACACAGTTTCTGAGGGTTGGGCTGTGAACCTTCGATGAAACTCTATATCTAGTTCCTAATATCACCTCTACTAATGAAAAGTGCGTAGGCAGCATCCGCTTCTTTCTCAGATATACGGAGAAAGCCGTGTCCAATTGTCACGAAAGCTAGCACCAGCTAGCTGGAGTTGTCCTTGCTTTAGCAAGTGAGGGGCTGGAATCCTCGGGATCGCCGCATCACGTGAAAACTTCATATGTAGGGGGGGGCCCCCCCCCCCCGTGGGTTCAACTCCCCCCTCGGACGCCTCTGGGACACCTCTCGGGCATCTCTTATGGCATCCACTTTGGCTTAACTCCTCCGGGATACGGTGCAACAGCTTCAACAAGCTCACATGTTCATGACATCGACATCGATAGAAGAAACCAAACAAATCATGCAAGCAGCTTTGTTTTGCCTCTGGGACACCTCTTGGGCACCTCTTATGGCATCCACACTGATTCAATTCCTCCGTGGAGGTTTTGGGATACGGTGCAACAGATTCAACAAGCTCACAGGTTCGTGAACACATCGGATGCATCGAATAGTGTGGCAAAGTCCAGCCACGCTTCCTTAATTATCGGGGACTTCAATTCTAAGGTTGGCTGTGTCAGTGCTGTTTGTGTGTCTTACATGTTCACAACGTTTTACCTCATGAGCATTTGCCTCACTCCGCTTGATGTCCCACCAGTCCGGATGCACCCCTGCTAGCTTTCGTCACCTACCCTCGGCCTCAAGTTTTTGGTCGGACCACACTTACCGCATCTCACCGCAATGATTGGGCGCACGGAGCGGCACTCTGTGACGTTGCTTCGCTGTTTTGTCGACTTCTTTGTGGCCTCGGGTCATGCGGCAAGACTCTTATTTAATTTGTTGGGTACTAGGGGACACACCAACATATTCTGCCGTGATTTGAGGCCTTTCTTCTTTTTAGCCAATCCCCATGTCATTCTGTTTGTTCTCTGCAGCTCCATGGCAAGAGCTTGACCCCGGCTCCTGACTGACGCCAGGCTCCACTCTACAAAGGCACCTTGTGGAAGCTCAACACAGATGGCAACCCGCAGGCGAGCGTGTCCAAAGAGATGGTCGAAAGCGAGAACATGTCCAAACTGGTCGCAGAAATCCCCACCCCTTTCAGAGGCGGTTGTACGGGAAGAAATTCTTGCGCCCCACCCCTTTCAGACGGTTCCTCTCAGCTTGCAAAGCTAGTCGTGGCGATTAGTTGGGTATGGCATGCCTTGTCCGCATAACGAGAGGTCTATATAGTCTACGGTGTGGTTAGGTGGCTGCCATTGCCGAAAATTCATGAGAGAAAGCCAACACCCTTCACAGCCAGAAAGACGCCTGTGAGCCTGCCAGGATCCCACACACTGGCTGAAACGGGATATGTGGGTCAAGAACCTCAGTTCCGAGAAGTGCGTTATGTATGTCGAAAACGCTCCGAGCTACTGACATGTCTCAACGACGAGGTATGGTCATCCAAGGGCCCATGGTCCATTTCCATTTCAGCGATTAGCGATTGTATGTCTTATGTCACACATGTCCTTCCTTCTGATCATTCTTTCATGGGAGACAGCGCACCCAAACCACCCGGACCGCTGAGAGCCGACCATCTCCTAGCGATGAGCAAGCTCACCTTGACAACTCACTTACAGCGCGAGTTGGCCAAGGTGGCTTTCAATGGATCCCTTTGCTACTTCAGTATCAAAGAGAACAAGCGCCGGAGACACAGCTTTGCGTAGCAGACGTAGTGTTCATATTTCCTGGTTCACCCCGCTTCGACGGAGGTTTGGTGTTGGTGGATGGCTCCAAGCTCTCAGGTGCAAAGGCCTCCGAACTTGGGTCAATGGTCTTGGTTTGAGCGTGCAGTCCAGGCATTTCTAGGAATTCCCATTGTCGCCTGTAACTTGCAGATTCTTTCAAACAGATGACTTTCTTGGGCCATTCTGCTGTGGAGGTCACAAAAATGAGTGCAGCCAGAGAGCACGCTTTCAGGCCAACAGCCACACAGTAAAAAGATGTAAAAAGAAGAAACGCAATGAGCCTGATGAGTTAAAACATCTCATCAGTTATACGCAGATTCAACATGTGGGTTGACCAAAGGGGTCTCGGGAGATAGATGAGCAGATAGGGCTTGTAAGTTTCACACACACAATTTTGCAGAGGCAGCGTGTTGAGATGTCTGAAGTCGATGGCGCCAATTTTGCTTTTGAAGGTCTCCCACATATTGGGCCTTACCATAGGGAACAGAGTTTGGCCTTTCACCGAGATTGAAGAACTTTCAGGAAGGGATCCCTTACAAGAATCATTCCAATCCAACTGAAAGTCACTGGACCTTGGGCGTCGCAGGTTGGAATGTGTCAATCATGACGAACATGAGAAGGAGTGCTCAGTGGAGCGTGCTCAATCATGACCACTCTTGCTCTCCGGTTTTGAGCTGCAGATTTCACGTCTACCGGCGACGGTGTTTTGTGGCGACCTGTTGTGACGGAGCACGCATGCCGAGCGGAAGCGGTCTGCCCTCAGGACGTCAACATTGGCTTCTCCGCGGAGTCTCCTGAGGAGTCAGCCACCTCGGTTCAGTTGGTGCACCTTTTGGTGCGAATTCCTCCATCGAAGGAAGTTCGAAGCAGAGAAAAGCCTTTTGTGGGTTCTCAGCCTCGCTAGTGGACCTACACGTTCCTCCACCCTAAGGTACGCAAAGTGGACGGGGCTGTTGATGCACACTGCCAATATGGACGGTCATCGCAGCTCATTACAGCTCATTTGCAAACTTTTATAAGACATCAGCTTATTACATCTCAGCTTTTATTCCGCTCAAGAGAGAGCAAAAAGCACTGGATCTTAGTGATGACAGAGGCAAATGAGCCGTAGATTGTGCAGTGCGAAAGGAGGTCGCTTTCGCTTGTTTGTGAGCCCCATGCCAGCCAGGTGCCATTCAAACGATGAGATTGGGTGGCGATGTTGCTGCTGAGATCAAGCAATTTAGGCGTCCGGGCACCGGCACCGGCGCCTATTGCGGGCCGGCACGCGTCCGGGCAGCGGCCGGGGGGTCAGTGGAGGTCCGGTCCGGTCGTCCTCCTGAAGTCGTAAGAGATGTGGATAAAGTCGGATTCCGCAACTCCACAGGATTCCGCAACTAGGGTTCCGCAACTATTTGGTCGGATTCCGCAACTGAGGTTCCGCAACTAGGATTCCGCAACTAGGATTCCGCAACTGGGATTCCGCAACTAGGGTTCCGCAACTAGGATTCCGCAACTAGGATTCCGCAACTAGGATTCCGCAACTATCAGGATTCCGCAACTAGGATTCTGCAACTAGGATTCCGCAACTAGGATTCAGCAACTGGGATTCCGCAACTATCAGGATTCCGCAACTAGGATTCCGCAACTGGGATTCCGCAACTAGGATTCAGCAACTGGGATTCCGCAACTATCAGGATTCCGCAACTAGGATTCCGCAACTGGGATTCCGCAAGGACTCCGCAACTAGGATTCTGCAACTAGGATTCCGCAACTAGGATTCCGCAACTCGGAATCCGAAACTTAGAAGGTGGGGACAGGGGGGTGGGGGTGGGGGTGGGGGGGGATGGGGGGGGGCTAATGACGTTGGGTTGGATGTCCTTCGAAGATGTCAGAGGCACACGCGCAACTAGGATTCAGCAACTGGGATTCCGCAACTGGCATTCCGCAACTAGGATTCAGCAACTATCAGGATTCCGCAACTAGGATTCCGCAACTCGGAATCCGAAACTTAGAAGGTGGGGACAGGGGGGTGGGGGTGGGGGTGGGGGGGGATGGGGGGGGGCTAATGACGTTGGGTTGGGTGTCCTTCGAAGATGTCAGAGGCACACGCGCAACTAGGATTCAGCAACTGGGATTCCGCAACTATCAGTATTCCGCAAATAGGATTCCGCAACTAGGATTCCGCAAATCGGAATCCGCAACTAGGGTTCCGCAACTAGGTTTCCGCAACTAGGATTCCGCAACTATCAGGATTCCGCAACTCGGAATCCGAAACTTAGAAGGTGGGGACAGGGGGGTGGGGGTGGGGGTGGGGGGGGATGGGGGGGGCTAATGACGTTGGGTTGGATGTCCTTCGAAGATGTCAGAGGCACACACGCTACCGCGTCATATCGAGATAACATGGTTTGGCCGAACATGCTTGCAGGGTGCATGCCACTTTAGTACAAAGCGACCCTATATGGGA